CAGAGAACCCCAAGGACTCCACAGTTCAACCCTGAGCTACACATATTTGCCTCTATTGGAACCATAAATGTCCTGTGCTGGTGCTTTTATTAATTAGTGCTTGACTGTTTCTCTGATGTGCTCCACTACTTTTGTTTTCAGTTGCCTGAAAAGTTTACAATATCCATTGCTAATGGCAGAGCTTGATCCACTACCTGAAGAGACAGCTGAGCATCCCCTGAGGCAGTTTGCTGCTGATATACTTGTAAGTGCAACTTGGCTGTGTCTTCTTTCTGCCCCAATTATAAAAGGACTTACAGTTATTTGTAAAATGACTTGCAAACCTTGGCTTCCTGTCTGTATTATCAAGATTCATGAACAGTATTCTTGAAAGCAGCACTGATTCAGGTAAGGGAACTATAAATAGCCTCTGAGCTAAAGAGATCTAATGACAGTACAGATAAGCTATGCTTACCATACCTGGTGATATGTGGTTTCGCTAGCAGTGCCTGCTGGAGAGGGAGCTACAAGAGGGTAGGGAATGACAAGCGCGTGATTGTCATCTCACAAATGTGAGATACCTTGTGTCAGATATCAATGGCATCACTACATAAGGATGCCACTTGCGCAATGCCACCACATCATTGTCAACATCATTGCTTGCTTGTTATAGACACTGCTGGTCTGATTATTTACTACAGTATAAACTTTTCTGTGTACTTTTTTACATGAACCTGAGCACAATTGATCTCCTGGAGCTGCAGCTTAGCTGATTCTGTAATTCTATATATATATCTACCTGGGAGGAAACTCTTTAGGCCCAGTGAGACTTCTGAGTAGGCCTCTTTAGAATTTCACTAGAAATTCTGCAAAGGAAACAAAATTTTTATACACCCAGATGTTTACTAGAGGCTGACATTAAGCATCTTCAGGTTGGTTTGCATTCATTCTAAGCTTCCCTTCTAAGCTTAGACTTTAGCAGGACATGATGGTTGGGTCCATCTCACAAGCTAAATGTAATTTGCAGATCAGTGACTAAACCAAAATAAAACAAACCACTCTTAGTATGTTGCATGACCAGACCATAATATTAAGTCATAATGTGCTGTGGGGTTTTGGTTATGAATCACTTGTGATTTGTTAATAATGTTTAATCAGTGTTTTTGAAATGGATGAGGATGTCATAGCCTAGGCAGATTTCTCACCCATAAACTGATAATCATTACCATCATCATGAAAATAGTAATAATGATAATGATGAAGGAATAGTAAAACTCTGTAGCATTACCTCCTGGCCTAGTAGCTCTGAGGCATGTAGCCAGTGAACGACAGAGCTGTCTCCTTTTGAAGAGTTGGTACAGAGGTCTTATGATTTAAAAAATCGGGTTTATTAGGAATGTAAAGATGAAAGTTCCTTTTATCTTTTGGTAGTCAAATGCTCCAAACCATATAGAGAGAATAAGGCATTTAGCATTGATCTAATCACAAAGAGGATCTCAAACGTCAGTCTCCCATAGAATAGTATAAAGAGAATGGGCAATGGAGGCTCAAATATCTTTAAATGGGACAAAAGGTATATAAATGGAATTTGCACAAAGGTAGTAAACTTCTCTATCAAAAATCAGAGGCAATTTCTGGAAACTGTTAGACTGACATACCATAAAACAAAGTACCCTGAACACAAATCCAGGCCTAAAACATTTACTTTATGTTAGAGGTAGTATTTCCTTAGCTTGCTTTTCCTGGCTAATTCCTGACTCCATAGATTGCATCCTTCAGCTGCAGTTTCAGAAGCAATTTGCTTCAGCTCTTGTTGATTCCTGAGAGATGTTTAGGTAATAATTCAGTGCTTCCGTCACCTCCAGTCCATGGAAAGTTAGTTTTAATAGAAGAGAATATCTGTAGCTCAGGGTTGAACTGTGGAGTTCTTGGTGCTCTCTGAGCTTGATTGATTGCTTGATTGCTTGCAGATGTTTCATTACCCAACTAGGTAACATCAGCAATGCAAATGAGTGTGGGGTTTGCTGCCTGTTTTGCTTAGTTTTGCTGTTCCACAGTTCCAGGCAGATTCTACCCTATTTGCCTAGAGCCCTCCACTTGAGCATTGCCTTTCTCTGCTTCTCCTGGAAGCCAGCTCAGCAAAACCAGCTCAGCTTTTTAGAATAGAATAGATAGAATAGAAATCTTTATTGTCATTGTACTACTTGTACAACGAAGTTAAATGCCAGATCAGTGCGGGGT